TTTTTTTTTTTTTTTTTTTTTTGAGATGGAGTCTTATACTGTCGCCCAGCTGGAGTGCAGTGGTGGGATCTTGGCTCACTGCAACCTCCGCCTCCCGGGTTCAAGCGATCCTCCTGCCCCCGCCTCCCAAGTAGCTGGGATTACAGGCACCCACCACCACCACGCCTGGCTAATTTTTTGTATTTTTAGTAGAGACGGGGTTTCACCGTGTTGGCCAGGCTGATCTCAAACTCCTGACCTTGTGATTTGCCCACCTTGGCCTCCCAAAGTGCTGAGTGTGAGCCACAGTGCCCAGCCTGACTTTCTCTTTATCTCTTTTTAACTTTGTTTTTTGAAAAACCCAGTAGACTTTTTGTGGGGAGCATTTTTGTTGATTATTTTACTGATCTAAAGCTGAGTGATTTTTTAAAAAGAGTTTGAATTTGGCTTCCTCACCAATAATATGTTTCTTTGCTTCTTTGATGTGATAGTTTTGAGATGTGTGAGAATCTAATAGGTTTGTGGTTGAATTTGCTTTGTTGTTACAAAGTCCACCCTATGGGCACAATAACATACTGTTGGTAGGAATTGTTCGAGCTATTCTGGAGATTATTTGGTAAAGTATACTAAAAGCCTTAAAACCATGTATGTGCACTGTTTGAACCAGTAAGCCACTTCTTCGATATTAGAAGACATTAGAAGAAATAATCAGCCTTGCATAAAATTTATGGATGAAAGTATTCATCACAATATTATTCATAATAAAAAATTGCAAATGTTATAAATTAACAATTGGAAAATGGTTAAAGAAGTGATGGTGCATTGTATGGTAGAATATTATGCATATGTTTAAAGAATCATATTTTCTAAGATTACTTGGAAACATGTTTGGTAATATCAAGTGGGGGCATCCCAGACATTTATTTTAGAAATTTATCATCATAATTTTAGACTTTTATCATCATTGTTGCTGTGAGTGGAAGGCCGTTCAGAGAGGCTAGAGGTTCTTATTCTGGCTGTAAATTGTGTGAGTAAAATTCTGCTAACCAATTAAAAATGTGCACCCATGTTCAGTATATCATCCTGGAAATAGCAATTGAAACGTGTCTTCTCACAAGAGAAAAATGACAGTTTTAATGATGCATTAGATGAATTTAAATTTTAAGTCAGGTGCTGCAAATTGGAAAGAAGACTTGTGGTGTTTTAAATTCCTGTAGACACTTTTAAGAAACTTAGAACCCATGAAACCATTGTTTATTGCCATGCAAATTACAATCTTGAATGAGGTTTTTTTTTTTTTAAATAAAGTATTAGAAAACGTGTAATAAAGATGTAAAATTGAAAAATGAAATTCTGCATTAACTGTGAATTTTACTAAATAGAACTACTGGTGAAGCAAATTTATCCATTGAGACTATCTGGTATGTGTTACGTATGTATTCTGTTGGTGCTGGAAGATGTCTGTGTGCTGTATCAACATGTGACTTCGTGTAAAGTTTCTTTATGTTCACAGTTCTTAGCAAATGCAGTTTCAATCTGTAGATAGCCAGCAGTGGATGTTACTACAGGAAAATGCAGGATTAAAATTGTCCTTATGTATAACGTGTCTGAATCATTATAGTCTAATCATTGATTAAAATGTACTAATTAATTAGGGCGAAGCTGCTTTGACACACCTCTGTAATCCCAATACCTTAAGAGACTGAGGTGGGAGGATCACTTGAACTCACAGACCAGTCTGGGCAACCTGCCAAGACCCTGTCCCTTCAAAAAATACGAAAATTAGCCAGGCATGGTGGCATGTGCCTGAATTCTGAACTTCTTAGGAGGCTGAGGTGGGACGATCATTTGAGCCTGGAAAGTTGAGGCTGCAGTGAACTGAGATCACATCACTGCAGTCCAGCCTGGGCAGCAGAGTGAAACCTGGTCTCCAAAAAAAACCAAAGTATTAATAGTTTAAAAATGGACTTTACACATTCTTATAATCTAATTTTAGTAAAAAAGTGAAACTTGAAGGAGCCTTATAAAAGATTTTCCATGATTGAGCTGGCAACTTTTAATGCAAATACTTTTTGCATGTAGTTTTGATAAGTATTTCACTTTTAAAAATAGATGCTGATGGGCCGGGCGCGGTGGCTCAAGCCTGTAATCCCAGCACTTTGGGAGGCCGAGGTGGGTGGATCACGAGGTCAAGAGATCGAGACCATCCTGGTCAACATGGTGAAACCCCGTCTCTACTAAAAATACAAAAAATTAGCTGGGCATGGTGGCGCGTGCCTGTAATCCCAGCGACTCAGGAGGCTGAGGCAGGAGAATTGCCTGAACCCAGGAGGCGGAGGTTGCGGTGAGCCGAGATCGCGCCATTGCACTCCAGCCTGGGTAACATGAGTGAAACTCCGTCTCAAAAAAAAAAAAAATAGATGCTGACAAGTGATACTTGTTTTTATTATTACATAAAAGCCAGTCTGGTAGCTTTCTCTTAGTTTAAAAGTTGATAAATTACTTTTTTTTTTTTTTTTTTTTTGAGATGGGGTTTCGTTCTTGTTACCCAGGCTGGAGTGCAATGGGGCGATCTCGGCTCACCACAACCTCCGCCTCCTGGGTTCAGGCAATTCTCCTGCCTCAGCCTCCTGAGTAGCTGGGACTACAGGCACGCGCCACCATGCCCAGCTAATTTTTTGTATTTTTAGTAGAGACGGGGTTTCACCATGTTGACCAGGATGGTCTCGATCTCTTGACTTTGTGATCCACCCGCCTCGGCCTCCCAAAGTGCTGGTATTACAGGCTTGAGCCACCGCGCCCGGCCTTTTTTTTCTTTTTTTAAGACAAGAGTCTCACTCTGTCACCCAGGCTTGAGTGCCGTGGGGTGAACTTGGCTCACTACAACCTCTGCCTCCTGGGTTCAAGCGATTCTCCTGTCTCAGCCTCCTGAATAGCTGGGGTTGCAGGTGCACGCCACCACACCTGGCTACTTATTGTATTTTTTATTACAGACAGGGTTTCACCATGTTGGTCAAGCTGGTCTCCAACTCCTGACCTCGTGATTTGCTCGCCTCGCCCTCCCAAAGTAATGGAATTACAGGTGTGAAATAAATTACTGTTTTAAAGATGAATTTTACCTTTTAGTTCCTGTCCTTATTTTTTACTAAATTCCTTTAAGAAATCAAATAGATTGGGAAGAGTTCATTCAGAACTTCAGTTTGGCTTAGACTGTGAGTATAAAATCAGTTGCAGTGTAATTCTTGTAGCTTTCACTTTTGTCATTTTTGTTTTCGTTTTTTTTTTTTGAGACAGTTTCGTTCTTGTTGCTGCCCAGACGAGTGCAATGGTCCGATCTTGTCTCACCGGAACCTCCACCTGCGGGTTCAAGCGATTCTCCCGCCTCAGCCTCCCCAGTAGCTGGGATTACAGGCTTGTGCCACCATGGCCAGCTAATTTTATATTTTTAGTCGAAGAGGTTTCTCCATGTTGAGCAGGCTGGTCTCAAACTCCCGACCACAGGTGATCCGCCTTGGCCTCCCAAAGTGCTAGGATTATAGGCGTGAGCCACCATGAGCCACCAGCCCACTTCTGTCATTTTTTTAATGTTATATATTCTCTTTAAATTGTTTAAAGAAAACCTGTGGAGAGCAAAGGTAAAACTACTGAGATTTTTAATTTGCACCTAGTCATCATAATGCTCATACCATATTCAGTTATTTATGAACTATAATCAAGATAAACCTACTAGCCTCGATACACACAATTTTATTTATTTTTGAGACGGGTCTTGCTCTGTTGCCCAGGTTGGAGTGGAGTGGCATGATCACAGCTCACTGCAGCCTTGACCTCCAGGCTCAAGTGATCTTCCCACGTCAGCTTCCAGAATAGCTGAGAGACCACAGGCGCATGCTCCCATACCTGGCTAATTTTTACATTTTTTAATACAGATGTGGGTCTCCCTGTGTTGTCCAGGCTGGTCTCAAACTCCTGAGCTCAAGCTATTCTCCCACCTCGGCCTCCCAAAGTGCTGGGATTATAGGCGTGAGCCACTGTACTCAGCCTGTACATGTATTTTTACCTGAGCGTTGCACATGGTTGCCTGGTGAGCAGTGGCACTTGAGGACTTCCCAGAAAAATAGTAAGTCCTACAGTAGTGAAACCTAAGAAGCATGTGAATTAAAACGATCCTCACTTCAAAAATTGACCTTCAAACCACATTCCTTTACATCTTATCACCACCAAGACTTACTGCACAGCCACCTACTGCTAGACTGTTTTGAGCAACTATTCAGAATTTGCTTTATTTTTTTGTATTTCTCTGATGATCAGGGAAGTAGACCACCTTTTTGTGTTTATTGGCTATTTGGTTTTTGTTTTTTGAGTCAGAGTCTCTTTTGGTCAGGCTGGAATGCAGTGGCATGATCACAGCTCATTGCATTCTGCATCTCCCAGCTCAAGTGATCCCCTATCTCAGCCTCCTGAGTAGCTGAGACCACATGAGTGCACCACCACACCCAGTTAACTTAAAAATATATATATATTTTTTGGCCAGGTAGAGTGGCTCACGCCTGTAATCCCAGCAGTTTGGGAGGCCAAGATGGGCCGATCACCTGAGATCAGGAGTTTGACAGCAGCCTGGCCAACATAGTGTAACCCATCTCTACTAAATATGCAAAAAGGTAGCCCGGCATGGTGGCGGGCACTTGTAATCCCAGCTACTCAGGAGGCTGAGGCAGGAGAATCGCTGGAGCTCCCCAGGAATCAGAGGTTGCAGTGAGCTGAGATCGTGCCATTGCACTCCAGCCTGGGCAACAAGAGCGGGACTCCGTCTCAAAAAAAAAAAAAAACGAAATAAAAAAAGTGTTTTTTAGAGATGGAGTTTCACCATGTTGCCCAGGGTGGTCTCAAACTCCTGAGCTCAAGAGATCCTCTCACATTGGCCTCCCAAAGTGCTGGGATTACAGGCCACCATGCCCGGCTTTCTTGATTTTAAACTCTAAGACATTGCCTTTGTCTCCCGAACATGAAACTATCAGTAAAGCTTCAAAGTAAGAAACCTTAATTTTGTTTTTCCATTTTCAGATTGTCTTTTTTGAACACAAGGCCATGTTTTGCTATTTCATATTCAACCACAAAGTAAAGTTAAAACCCTGTAAGACCGTATTTAGTAACTCATCTTGCTGTCTAATGGGTTAAGCAGTCAGGGATGGGCAGCCAGGGCTGAAGTGTGATAAGCCTTATTTTTCCTAGTCCAATTCCCACGTCTTAGGAAGAGTGAAAGATGGTTGAAGAGGTTTGACTATGGAAGGACAGGTGAAAAAGCTTAGACTGAACCCAGAATATGGTAGATTTTGTCATGAGAAAGTACCATGGTTCTTCTCATTGCTTTTCAGGAGCCCCCCAAAATAAATTTCTCCCTCTTTATCTGCGATTCTTGGTTTAAAGTACTGTATCAAAGGTGCTAGAGTGGCTCGGAACTGTTATCCCCGAGGGCTGGGCTCTGCCTCCACACGTGCGAGTGTCAGGTCCTGTTCTTAGAGTCAGGTACACAGGAGCGAGCACCGCCGAGCTCACGGTTATTAGGGGGAAGATGCTAGATACGGAAGTGAGCAACTCAAATGTCATAAACCAGGATGCTGGGGCGGCGCAACAGCCTCCATTCGCTTCTTCACTCCCTGGGTAATGGTGAGCAGCCAGTTCTTCCAGGCCTTCCAGCGCCGGAGCCTCGGGCGTGGACAAAAAGCGTCCGTGCTCAGCCTGGGCCAGTTGGGAGCCCCCAGTCTCCGAGGTGGAAGAACAGTGCCCACCAGCGTGGTGGGGCTGCGGCCCGGAAACCCTGGGGGGAGCCCTGAGCCCTGGCGGGCTCTCGCCGCGTGGGCGCCGGGCAGACGGTTGGGGTGCGGGGCGGGGCCCGGCCGGGGGCGCGGGGCTCCAGGCCTCCGGGCTCGCCCCAGCCGCTCGGGGCCGGCGCACCGATGGCGTTTCTAAGGTGACGCCGTCCACACCGGCCTTCTCCGCGGGCGGAGGAAACCCCTATGAACCCTTCGGCCGCCTTCCTCGTCGGGCGCCAGGTGAGCGGCGGTTCCTCCCCGGCGCGGCGGGGCGCCGCGGGAACGGTGCACATTGGCTGAAATCTAGGTTGCTTCTCAAGAACGGTGTCTGCTTAAAATGTGAAACAATACACTGTACACAGAGGAAAACAGCGTCGACCGTTTCCTTAACCCAGTAACACCTTGTTATTTAGTACAGGCCGGAGAGTAGCGCGTACCCGGTGCTTACTGTTTAAGGAGGACGCTTGGCGTCTGGGGAGCTGCTTTCCCACACACCTCGCTGGGTGTCCTTCATTTACACACCCTGGCGAGTGGAGGAAGGAACTCTCTCACAACTCCGCTGTACAGAAAAGTCTGGAAGCGGGCTTGCCCCAGGGTCGCGTCCGTCAGTGTAAGACGACCTGCCTTTGGATACTCGGCTTGCTGCCCGCTTTCCTGGCGTGGAGCATGTGCTCCTTGCCTGGCGTGTGTCGGGTCTCCATATGCAAGCCTGGAGCCTGAAAGTCTGACGTCCTGCTCGCCTCGGCTGAAGTCTCCCACCCGCTGCCTGCGTTCGCCATTGTCGCTGATCGCCCAGCGGAGCTTCCCCACAAGCCCCTCACCCAACCCTGCCGTCTTAACTGTTCTTATGATAGTGTAAATGCCCCTCACCCAACTCTGCCATTGTAACTGAACTTGTATACTCCTTGCCCCTACCCCCACCACTGTAATTTAACTTACTCTGCAACACCCCCGCCCCCAAAAAACTACCCAAATCTATAAAACCAACTCCTATCCCACTGCCCTTTGCTAATGCCCTTTTCCGCCTTAGCCCACCTGCACCCAGGTGAATAAACAGCCATGTTGCTCACACAAAGCCTGTTTGGAAGGGCTCTTCACTCAAGGCGCGCGTTTTGTCAGCAGTGCGCTGGGGCCCAGCCACTGGCGCTCAATAAATTATTTGTTGAATGAATGAATGAGGGGCTAACCCAACACTGGAATTCAAGCTTTGAGACTTGAAATCCCTTGACTCCAAATTCCATTTTCCGTGTTAAGACTAGTACTAGGTCGGGCGCGGTGGCTCATGCCTGTAATCCCAGCACTTTGGGAGGCCGAGGTGGGTGAATCACAATATCAGGGGAGTTCGAGACCAGCCTGGCCAACATGGGGAAACCCCATCTCTACTAAAAATACAAAAAATTAGCCAGGCATGGTGGCAGGTGCCTGTAATCCCAGCTACTCAGAAGGCTGAGGCAGGAGAATCGCTTGAACCTGGGAGACGGAGGTTGCAGTGAGCCGAGATCGTGCCACTGCACTCCAGCCTGGGTGACAGAGCAAGACTCCATCTTTAAAAAAAAATGCTGTTGCTATCATTTTACGGGTGAGGAAACTAATGTTTAGAGAAGTTAAGTAACTTGCCCAAGGTTATGTAGCCATTAGGTGGCGAATTCTGGGATCACAATTTGGTCAGACCAGCTTTAGTGCACTAGACTTTAAAATGCTGTATACTTAAAAGGAATTATTGTTTTAATAGATAATAGTGTTAGGTATAAAAATGGTGTCATGGTTATGTAAGAAATATTCATTTTTAGAGATCATACGGAAGTATGTAAGGGTGAAATGGTACTTTTTCATCGATAATGAAAAGAAAAGGAAATTGAAGCAGCTGTAGCAAAATCTTGATAATGGTAGAAGCTAGGTGCTGAGTATACGGGAGTTTATTGCGCTATTGTCTTTGGGTACACGTGAAAAATTTACTTACGGAATTTGACTTTTAATTAGGTATGTTATATTTGGACAATTTGCAATATTAAATTGTCCTTGATTGATTGAATAGATATAGATGCCTTAGATGTTGTAGTTGTCATAAATATTGAACTCTATCATTTTCTTTTTATAGACTAAAATTCCTTTTTTTTTTTTTTTTGTTTTTTTTTTTTTTTTTTTTACAAAATTTTCCCCCTTTGCCCCGGCTGATTTTCCGGTGGCGTGATCTCAGCTTACTGCAGCCTCCGCCTCCTGGATTCAAACAATCCTCAAGAACCAGCAACAAAAGTAGCTGGGACTACAGGCGTGTGCCACCACGCCCGTCTAATTTTTGTATTTTTAGTAGAGATGGGGTTTCACCATGTGGTCCACGATGGTCTCGATCTTGTGACCTTGTGATCTGCCCGCCTCGGACTCCCAAAATGCTAGGATTACAGGCGTGAGCCACCGTGCCCGGCTTAAAATTCCTGTTCTGTAGTAAGAATCATTAACATTTACACAGTAACTATTTCATGGTTTGTTTTTTTTTTTTTTCTTTTGAGATGGAATTTCGCTCTTGTTACCTAGGTTGGAGTACAGTTGCACTATCTCGGCTCACTGCAACTTCCACCTCCTGGGTTCAAGAATTCTCCTTCCTCAGCCTCCCAAGTAGCTGGGATTACAGGCACTGAACTAATTTTTGTATTTTTGGTAGAGACGGGGTTCCACCATGTTGGCCAGGCTGGTCTCAAACTCCTGACCTCAGGTGATCCGCCCACCTTGACCTCCCAAAGTGCTGGGATTACAGGCGTAAGCCACCACGCCTGGCCACTATTGCATGTTTACCTGTACTTGGTTACTGTAATTGCTGGGGCAAGGTGGGGGATAATGTTACTGATTGGCAGAGAAAAGCGTTTTTGGCAAAGGGTGAAAAAGTGCAGAAATAGGTTTGTTTGCTTACCCATTGGGTTTTAGAAGCAGTCCCACTTTTTAGGTATGGTATGTGTGGCGTGACAGAAAATTGTAGAGAAGTAGAGTGCATGGTAGGTCTTAACTTGAGCATGTTTTAAGTATACATAATCTTTTGATGCCATGTTATTAACTTAAAACTTAATTGAGGCCAGGCATGGTGGCTCACACCTGTAATCCCAGCACTTTGGGAGGCCAAAGCGGGTGGATCATGAGGTCAAGGGAGCGAGACCATCCTGGCTAACATGGTGAAACCCCGTCTGTACTAAAAATTACAAAGATTAGCTGGGCGTGGTGGCGCATGCCTGTAGTCCCAGGTACTCAGGAGGCTGAGGCAGGAGAATTGCTTGAACCCAGGAGGCGGAGGTTGCAGTCAGCCGAGATCGAGCCACTGCACTCCAGCCTGGCACCTGGCAATGGAGCTAAACTCTGTCTCAAAAAAAAAACAAAAAAACAAAAAAACTTAATTGGACTACTTAGAATTGGCAGCAAAAGAAGATATACTTATTTGGAAAGTGGACCTTGGCTGATTTGTTATTGATTTCATTCTATTTTGATGTGAAACCGCTTTCTATGTTTAGAACATCGGGTCAGAAGTTGAGATTTCCACTATTGAGAAACAACGGAAGGAGCTGCAGTTGCTCATTGGAGAGCTGAAAGATCGAGATAAAGAGCTCAATGATATGGTTGCAGTGCACCAGCAACAACTGCTTTCATGGGAAGAGGATCGGCAGAAAGTGTTGACATTGGAAGAACGTTGCAGCAAACTGGAAGGTCAGAAATACACTCAGTGACAGCAGTTACGCACTTCTGTGTGCTAACACGTCGATGGGCTCGTGGGGAAGACGGAGAGGAAGTAAAGACTGCAATTCCTGCTGTCCCCACGTTTAGTCTCAGGGGAGCAGGAGGACTTTATGAACATCCACAATGGGACAGACACACACAAGTCAAGTAGGGCGAGCAAAGTATTCCAGTATAAAAAGGGGGTTGGACAGAGCTCCAGTTAACATGGGGTGAGCGCCAAGGATGAATCTGAAGTTTTGAGCAAGAATATGAGGGAAGATGCCATATGACTAGCCATTTCTCGAGAACTAAACTGAAAGATTTTGAGCTTTTGGTATTGAATTTGATCTTAAGTTCCTAAAATGATCTTTTTTTTTTGAGACAGAGTTTTGCTCTTGTTGCCCAGGCTGGAATGACATTGGCTTGATCTTGGCTCACTGCAACCTCAGCCTCCCCGGGTTCAAGCAATTCTCCTGCCCCAGCCTCCTGAGTAGCTGGAATTACAGGCGTATGCCACCATGCCCAGCTGATTTTGTATTTTTAGTAGAGATGGGGTTTCTCCATGTTGGTTAGGCTGGTCTTGAACTCCCGATCTCAGTTGATCCCCACACCTCAGCCTCCCAAAGTGCTGTGATTACAGACATGAGCCACCAAAAATGGTCATCTTTTAAAATTACAGCTGTCTGGCCAGGCACGGTGGCTCACACCTGTAATTCCAGCACTTTAGAAGGCCGAGGCAGGCAGATCGCTTGAGCTCAGAAGTTCTGGACCAGCCTAGCCAACATGGTGAAACCCTGTTTCTACTAAAAATACAGAAAATTAGCTGCACGTGGTAGTGCAGGCCTGCAATCTCAGCTACTTGGGAGGCAGAGGCACGAGAATCCCTTGAACCCAGAAGGTGGAGGTTGCAGTGAGCCATGATTGCGCCACTGCACTCCAGCATGAGGGACAGAGCAAGCCTTGCCTAAAAAAAAAAAAAAAAATTATAGCTGTCTCAAAACTAGTTGCAAAAGTTTATTTGATACCATAATTTAATTGTCATGCCTTTAGTGCCACCCTAAATCTGAATGTTCCATTGACTCTAGATTGTTAATAGAATGCATTAGAGGAGAAAACACTAGATCTGTGTAATAGAAAGATTACCTTGTATACCCTGCCAACTACAATCACCCTGTCTTTTAAAAGAAAAAAAAAAAAAAAGAAAGATAACCTTGTAGCACATTTCTTTTTATTTAACATTATTCAAAGGACTCTGTAAATGTGAGAATCCAAATTTATCATTTTTGGTGGGGCTCAGTGGCTTACACCTGTAATCCCAGCACTTTGGGAGGCTAAGGCGGGCAGATCATTTGAGGTCAGGAGTTCCATACCAGCCTGGTCAACATAGTGTACCTCGTCTCTACTAAAAACACAAACATTAGTTGGGCATGGTGGTGCACACCTGTAGTCCCAGGTACTCAGGAAGCTGAGGCAGGAGAATTGCTTGAGCCTGGGAGGTGGAGGTTGCAATCGTGCCGCTGCTCTCCAGCCTGGGCGACAGCAAGACTCTGTGTCAAAAAAACCAACCACCCCCCCAAAAAAAAACACCCAAATGTATGGTTTTTTTGTTTCTTTGATGACCATCTTATTTTACTCTGACCACACCCACACACACATATACACACAGTGTTTAAAATAGTTGCTCATTAAATGCAGTGTAACATCTTATAGCTCTTACATAAACATGTTAAAGAACAAAGATAAAACATATAACGTATAACCCACATTATATGTAGCCATCAGTATCTGGTTTTAAAATAAGCAAGATTTGAATAGGCACCTCATGGAAAGAGGAAAATTGAATGGCCAACAAATATATAAAATGTTCCCATTCTCATTAGTAATTAGGGAAATGCAAATGAAAACCAAATTGAGATACTATTTTACCTTTACCAGCCTGGCAGAAATTATTGGGTGCTGGTAAAGTGTGGCGCCAAGGGAACGCTGAGACGCTGCTGGTGGGAGTCAGTTGTCACTGCTAGTGTGCAAAATCATTTGACCGTATCTAGTGAAGCTGAAGAGGTGCATATCCTACAGCCCAGCAAATCCACTTCTAGGAATATTCTCACCCTTTAATAGACACATGAGTCACCTAAGGGTCTTGATAAAATGTAGATTCTGATACAATAGGTCTGGGGCCCCAGGTGATGCTTCTGCTGCCTTGGTCCAGGGACCACATTTTGAGAAGGAAGGCTCTCAAGAAACTCTTGCAAATATGCACCAAGGGATATGTGTAAAAAAGGCCAGGTGCAGTGGCTCAGCCTGTAATCCTAGCACTTTGGGAAGCCATGGCGGGCGGATCACCTGAGGTCAGGGGTTTGAGATCAGCCTGGTCAAAATGGAGAAACCCTGTCTCTACTAAAAATACAAAAAGTAGCCAGTCATGGTGGCTCATGCCTGTAATCCCAGCTACTCAGAAGGCTAAGGCAGAAGAATCGCTTCAACCCAGGAGGCGGAGGTTGCAGTGAGCCAAGATCATGCCACTGTGCTTCCAGCCTGGGCAACAGAGTGAGAGTCTTTCTAAAAAAAAAAAAAAAAAAAGATGCACGTAAAAGAATATTCAGAGCAGCATTGTTTATCATAGCTGCAAAGTGGAAATAACCCAAATCACTCTCAGTAGTAGAAATAAGCTTTGATGTAATCATTCAGTGGAATATTAGCACAAACACAAGTTATACACAACTAAGTGAATCTCAGAGTCATAAGCAAAATAAGTGAACAGAAGAATTCACAGAATATTATTCCTTTTTTTTTCGAGACAGAGTTTTGCTCTTGTTGCCCAGGCTGGAGTGCAATGGCACAATCTCAGCTCACTGCAACCTTCGCCTCCTGGGTTCAAGTGATTCTCCTGCTTCAGTCCCCCAAGTAGCTGGGATTATAGGCATGAGCCACCACACCCAGCTAATTTTTGTATTCTTAATAGAGACAGGGTTTCCCCATATCGGCCAGGCTGGTCTCGAACTCCTGACCTTGTGATTCGCCTGCCTCAGCCTCCCAAAGTACTGGGATTACAGGTGTGTGCCACCACACCCGGCCATTATTCCATTTTAATATGGTTCAAATTAAACTATAATTTTTAGGGATGTGGTCATTGGTAACATTATAATGAAAAGCTAGGAAGCGATTACTCTAAGATCAGGGTCATAGTTGGGAAAGTGGAAATTGGAGATTGTGTTCAGGAAGTGACCTCCAGGGGCTTCTAGTTGCTCTCAGCTCTGTTTCTTGATTAGGTATGGTATTGAGCATTTCATAATGAAAGGTTTTAAAAGAAGATTGCCTTTTTAAAAATTCTCCAGCACACGTTTCCTTTTTTTTTTTTTCTTTTTTAGCCAGAGTCTTGCTCTGTTGCCCAGGCTGGAGTGCAGAGGCTCGATCTTGGCTCATTCCAACGTCTGCCTCCAGGGTTCAAGCAATTCTCCTGCCTCAGCCTCCCAGGTAGCTGGGACTACAGGCATGTACCATCACACCCAGCTAATTTTTGTATTTTTAGTAGAGATGGAGTTTCACCATGTTGGTCAGGATGGTCTTGATCCCTTGACTTGGTGATCCACCTGCCTCGGCCTCCCAAAGTGCTGGGATTACAGGCGTGAGCCACCTTGCTCAGTCTGTACTTTTACTTTTTAGCCACCGATTTTGAAAATAATGCATTTTGGGGGAACTCCTCTTTTGGCTTTGGAGCACCCCGCCCCCGCAACCGCACCTGTCTCTGTAGGGAGGAGGCTCTTCCGTCTGCCTTCTTTCTTGCTTTTTTTTTTTTCTTTTTTTTTTTTTGAGAAGAAGTTTCACTGTTGTTACCCAGGCTGGAGCGCAATGGCACGATCTCGGCTCACCGCAACCTCCACCTCCTAGGTTCAGGCAATTCTCCTGCCTCAACCTCCTGAGTAGCTGGGATCACAGGCATGCGCCACCATGCCCAGCTAATGTTTTTGTATTTTTAGTAGAGACGGGGTTTCACCATATTGACCAGGATGGTCTCGATCTCTTGACCTCGTGATCCACCCGCCTCGGCCTCCCAAAGTGCTGGGATTACAGGCTTGAGCCACTGCGCCTGGCTTCTTTCTTGCTTATTAAACACTCTGCTCCTTAAAACCAAAAAATAAATAAATAATAAGAATACATTTTAAGCTGAAGGTCTGACTACAGATTATTGATGAAATTTCCTCAGGTGAACTACATAAAAGAACTGAAATAATCAGGTCACTTACGAAGAAGATAAAAACCCTTGAATCCAACCAAATGGAATGCCAAACAGCTCTCCAGAAGACCCAACTACAGCTTCAGGAAATGGCTCAAAAGGCAACACATTCTTCTCTTCTCTCTGAAGACCTTGAGGTTAGGTTTATTTTTTTATAAGCTTCACTAGTGCAAATTCCCTTTGTGCTTCGGTTATTGAAAAATTAGATTGAAATGTTTCATTAAAAATGCATGTGAGTCACTTTTCATTTAATGTGAAGAATAAAAGAATTAAAGAAAATTGAATTTTAAAAAAATTTAAAAAAAGAAAATAAATGCATGTGAGGCCAGGCCCGGTGGCTCGGTAGCTCACACCTGTAATGCCAGCTCTTTGTTTGGGAGTCTGAGGTGGGAGGACTGCTTGAGCCCAGGAATTCAAGAGCAGGCTGGGCAACATGGCAAACACCCATCTTTATAAAAAGAAGAAATAAAAGGCCAGGCATGGTGGCTCACCCCTGAAATCCCGACACTTTGAGAGGCCGAGGTGGGTAAATTACGAAGCCAGGAGTTCAAGACCAGCCTGGCCAATATGGTGAAACCTCGTCTCTACTAAAAATACAAAAAAGAAAAAAAAAATTAGCCAGTGTGGTGGCAGGTGCCTGTAATCTCAGCCACTCGGGATGTGAGGCAGGAGAATCACTTGAACCCAGGAGGCAGAGGTTGCAGTGAGCCGAGATCTCACCACTGCCCTCCAGCCCGGGTGACAGAGTGAGATTCTATCTAAAAAAAAAAAAAAGAAATAAAAAATGATCCAGGTGTGGCGGTGCACTGCTGTGGTCCCAGTTATATTTGGGAGGCTGAGGTGGGAGGATCACTTGAGCTCCGAAGGTCAAGGCTGCAGTGAACTGTGATTGTGCCACTACATCCCAGCCTGGGTGACCAGAAAAAAAAAAAAGAAAGTATATGGAAGCCAGGCACAGGGATGTGCACCTGTAGTCTCAGCCACTGAGGAGACTGAGGCAGAAAGATCGCTTGGGCCCAGGAGTTCAAGTCCAGCCTGGGCAACACAGTGAGACCTCATCTCAATAAAAAACAACAATGACAAACAACCAATGCAAAAGCGCATACGTGTGTGTGTGAGGGTGTCTGTACTGATCCACCCCTCGTCGTTTTGTGTTTATCCTGCGGTTGGGGTTAGGTGCACAGCACTATCCTGTCTTAGAGGCTGAGCTTCAGTACAACGCTTTGTAATTGTTAGACCATTTGGTTTAGTAGCATCTACCATTTAATCAACAATGTGTTATTTTAGAAAGCTTTCCTCAAAGATGAGATGGGTGGTATCATCAACTTTTGGTGCCTCACTGATGTTTTCTAAATTATTGTGTCTTTTTTTTTTCTTCTTAGTAGAGACAGGGTTTCACCATGTTAGTCAGGCTGGTCTAGAACTCCTGACCTCATGGTCTGCCTGCCTTGGCCTTCCAAAGTGCTGGGATTACAGGCCAGGTGTGAGCCACCCCACCAGGCCTTTTTTTTTTTTTTTTTTTTTTTTAAGATGAGAGTTTGCTCTGTTGCCCAGGCTGGATGCAATGGTGTGATTTAGGCTCACCACAACCTCTGCCTCCCAGGTTCAAGCAATTCTCCTGCCTCAGCCTCCTGAGTAGCTGGGATTATAGGCATGTGCCACTACACCCGACTAATTTTGTATTTTAGTGGAAACGGGGTTTCTCCTTGTTAGTCAGGCTGGTTTTGAACTTTTGACCTTAGGTGAAATGCCTGCCTTGGCCTCCCAAAGTGCTGGAATTTCAGGCGTGAGCCACTGCACCTGGCCAATTATTGTGTCTTATCTCATAACATTAGTGGCATATTGGGAATAAAACCTGTAAGACTGATTTTTTGAGCCTGGCGTGGTTGCTCACACATGTAATCCTAGCACTTTGGGAGGCCAAGGTGGGTGGATCACTTGAGGTTCAAAGTTTGAGATCAGCTTGGCCAACATGGTGGAACCCCATCTCTACTAAAAATTCAAAAATTAACCGGGTGTGGTGGCAAGCACCTGTAGTCCCAGCTACTCAGGAGGCTGAGGTAGGAGAGTCACTTGACCCTGACAGGCAGAGGCTGCAGTGAGCCAAGATTGCACTACTCCACTCTAGCCTGGATGACAGAGCCAGACTCCATCTCAAAAAAAAAAAAAGATGGATTTTTTCAGTTTTCACTTCTAACTAGTCAGTCATCAGATATTTTTTGAGTTCATGCTTTATAAGAGACACAGAAAGCCAACTTGTTTTTTTGTTACATCCTTCATTTTCTTAATGATATTTAGCATAGGTCTTGGTAATATAATGAGTCTTAATTCAAAATAGTATTGATTTTTATTATGGTTTTTAAAGAATACTATTCTAGATAGTTTCCATCTACAAAATAAGTAAAAACTATTCTAGAATATGTACTGATATGTTGGCTGAAAAAGTGGAAGAGATCTTTTTTAATTAATAAACTTTATTTATTTAGAGCATTTGTTTGTTTTGAGATGGAGCCTTGCTCTGTTGCCTAGGCTGGAGTGCAGAGGTGTGATCTCAGCTCACTGCAACCTCTGCCTCCCAGGTTCAAGCAATTCTCCTGCCTCAGCCTCTGGAGTAGCTGGGATTACAGGTGCCTGCTACTGTGCCTGGCTAATTTTTTTTTTTTTTTTTTTTTTTT